TGTTGTTTTTAAACTTGGTTGTGCAAGAAGGCGCAATGCTTCCACCTATGCCTCCATCTTGGCAGAAGTCATAGCAGGTTTGCTTTCTTCTGAGCCCTCTGTCCTTGGCTGGCAGGCAGCCCCCTCCATGCTGGGCCCTCCCACAGCCTCCCCTCAGTGTTCACACGCATCTTCAGTGTCTATCTATCTGTCTTCAGATTTTCCCTCCTCCAGTCAGAGTGGCTCAGGGCCCACCCTAACGGCCTCACTTTAATCAACTCTTGAAAGGCTCTACCACTGAGTACAGTTTAGATTAAGGTACTGAGGTTAAGGCTTTGACATGTGAATTGGGGGGGCACACAACTCAGCCTATAACAGTAATCCAGCCAAGAAATGAAAAGAGCACGGAAGTGGTGAGGAACTCATGGATAGGAGAGAAGTTTTGAAGGAAAATAGAAAGATACAAACACATTAAATGAAGGAAGTGGCTACAGTGCATTAGAAAAAGTATTCATCAGGATATATTTTTTATCACTTTGAAGAATCAGTCTTTTGTCTTCTTAGTTTCTTATAAAAAGTCTTCCAAGATGAAACAGTCTCCCACTTTTATCTTTGTTCCTCTGCTAGTAAATGTCCTCTTTCTCTGAATAATTTCATGATGTTTTCTTTTGTTACTGGGTTCCAGTGATTTGGTTGTGGCTCACTGTAGTGGTGCACATGAGTGTGTGTGTGTGTGTGTGTGTGTGTGTGTGTCACACTTGTGGTGTGCTGGACTGCGTGGACCAGTCAGGGCATCATTTTCATCCAATGTGATACATTTTTAGTCTGTAGTTTCCAGATATTTTTCTGCCCCTATCCTTCTTCTGGTATTCCAACTGCCTATATGCGAGAGTTTGATATTATTCCACAGGTTACTGGGGCTGTTCATTTTTATTTTTAGACTATTTCTGTGCTTAGATTTTATTGTTGTATATATTCCTTTTTTATTGCTGTGTAACAAATTACCACAAACCTAGAAGCTTAAAACTACACAAATTTATCACTCACAGATTCTGTGGGCCAGGAATTTAGGCGTGGACTGGCTGGGTCCTCTCCTTAGAGTCTCACCAGAGGCTAAAATAGAGGTCCTCTGTCTGCTTTGGGTCCCACCAGGCTAAATTCAAGGAGTTGCTAGGCTGAGATTTCATCTGAGACTTAAAAGTCCGCTTCCATTCTCACTGGTGTTTGGCAGGATTTCATTCCTTACAATTGTAGGTCTGAAGTCGTCCCTGTTTCCTTGATCACTGATGACAGGGTTTCGCTCTGAGCTCTCAGAGTTTACCTTCGGGTCTTAGCCATATGGCCCTTTCACAACATGGCAACCTACTTTTTCAAAACTAGCAGAATACTATATCTTATAGCAGGTAGATTCAGGAAAAGGAGAACAAAGGAAGAAAAATAACAGAAAAAAATAGACAAGTTGAGTCATGCTAGTCATAAATCTAACTATTTTATTAATTACATTACATATAAATGGACTAAGTACTCAAATCAAATGTAGAGAGTGTCAGGTAGATACTTTTTAAAAAGTACCAACCATATACAAAAGAAATGTGGTATACAAAAGAAATACTTAAAATACAGAGACACAGAGATTCAAAGAAAAAGAATGGGGAAAATTGCAAACAATCAGCATGAGAAATAATATCTGAAAACATGGGAGATCACTGGGAACAAAACCAGATTCCATAGTGAGGAAGAGACCAGTATATCAGGGAGGTGTCATAAATAAAGCTATGTATGCACTCAAAATCAGGGCTTCAAAACACGGAAACAAAAAGTGAAAGGTTTTGTTTCTCCTGTAGTTGGATATTTTAAAAGTTTTCTCTCAGTACCTGAAAGAACAAATAAGCACACTCAAGAAAATCAGAAAGGAAATGAAATGTGGGCAACACTTTCAGCCATGCTGATATAACACAAACCCCCACAGCTGGAAGGATATACAGTATTTTCAAATGTACACATGGCATATTTGCCAAATTACATGACAAGCCATAAAATGAGTCTTGATAAGAAAATTTCGAAAGACTGGAATCTTACAAAGTAAGTTCTGTGACCACAACAAAATTAAGTTCAAAACAGATATTAGTGAAATATCTAGATATGCTTCTAAATCCTGGAAATTAGTGTGTTTTTAAACATCCCATTGATCATGAATAAATCACAAGGGAAATTAGATATTAAATATTTTAAACTATAGGATAATGCATATACAACAGTGAAATTTGTGGGGTACCAGTGAAAGCAGGACTTACAGGGAAATTTATAACTTTAAATGTTAGAAGGAAGAAACGTTTGTGTTGATTAAGTTTCTCTACCTTAAGAATCTACAAAAAGTAGAGTACATTTTTCCCCAAGGAAAAGAAAGGAAGGACTAAAAATAGCAGGAGTCAATAAAATAGAAAAAATACAAAGTAAGTGAAAAAAGTGAAGAGTTGCTTCTTTGAAAAGTTCAATAAAATTGATAAACTCTTAGCAAGATGAGGGAGGTTGCCAGGTTGCTAATATAATGAATGATGAATAAAAGATGGAATATCCTTCCAGCTCCTAGACATCAAAAGGAAAACTATGAACACTTATGTCATAAAATTTGACAACTTCAATGAAGTAGACCATTCCTTAAAATATCTAACTTACCATAACTGAGAGAAGAAATATAAATTTATAATAACCAACTACCTATCAGAATCAAATTCATATATCAAAAACCTCACTAGAAAAAAGAAGGTTGGCCCAAAGAGTTTCACTGGTTATTCGGATGTTTAAAAAATACTAGCTGTGCACTAACTGAGAAAACAGCAAGAGGAAGGAACATGTCCCATCCGATTCTCTGAGGCCAGCAACGCCCTCAGATCAAATCTCACAAAGACATTACAAGAACTAAATTTATAGATTGATGTCACTGACAAACTTAGACATAAAAATCCTTAACAAAATGTTAGCAAAGTGACCCCATCAGTGTAAAAAGACTAACCCATCATGAGCAAGTAAGGTTTATACCACTAATTCAAGATGGATAAATTATTTGAAAATTAATCAATATAGCTGTGGCTGGTGTGGCTCAGTGGATTGAGCACGGGCCTGTGAACCAGAGGGTTGCTGGTTCAATTCCAGGTCAGGGCAGATGCCTTTGTTACAGGCAAGGTTCGTAGTTGGGGGTGTGCAAAAGGCAACCACACATTGATGTTTTCCTCCCTCTCTTTCTCCCTCCCTTCTCTGTCTAAAAATAAATAAACAAAATATATTTTTTTATTTATCTTTAGAGGGGAAGGAAGGAGAGAGGGAGAGAAATATCAATGTATGGTTGCCTCTTGTGTGTCCCCTGCTGGGAACTGGCCTGCAACCAAGGCATGTGCCCTGACTGGGAATCGAACCAGTGACCTTTTGCTTCATGGGCCCGCGCTCAATCCACTGAGCTACACCAGCCAGGGCTATTTTTTTAAAAGAAGAAAATTAGTCAATATAATCCCATATTAAATAGAAAAAGCATAAAGCGTATTTAACAAAAGTCAACACCCATTTATGATAAAAGTTCTGAGCAAACTAGGAATAGGGATTGAACTTTAATCTGATAAGAGATATTTATAAAAAAAATCTAATGCCACTATCATTTTTAACGGCAACTCAATGAGTATTCTCCCTGCAAGGTCAGAAGTGAGGCCAGGCCGTCGGCTCCTCAGCGCCAGGCTGGAGAGCACAGCCGGTCTAACAAGACAAATGACAGGCATAATGGGACAAATGAAACTCCTGACTTGCAGTCGTGATTATGTACATTAAATATTCTAACGAATCAAACCACCTGCTGGAAGTAGGAAGTGGGTTAAGCAATGTCTCGGGATACAGGGTCCACACACAGAAAAATCAGCTGTACACCTGTCTATATATTAGCCCTGTGATTAGAGTGATTAGAAACCTTAAACACTTTTCAGTAATATTTACAACAGCATAAAAACTACAGACTACAAATGTTTACTGGGAGAAAGAAGACCCAAATAAATGGAGCAATACACCACATTCATGAATTAGAAACCTAGTATCATAGGTGATTGTCGTAAAATTCAGTTCACCTAAAATTCAACTCAAGAGCCATAAAATCTCTCCCTCCTCCTGTGAGGCAGACGGAAGATGAGGATCACGTGTGGGCCTATTTCCTCAAGACTAAAATTACATTCAGGGTAAAATAAACGAGTTCTGGACTTACTGCTTTGGATTCTCACTTTCTTCTAGATTTTGGCCCCATAGTTCCTCCCCATGTTATAAATTATCATTTCAAAAGACTTATATATTTTTTTTTTTTAGAGAGAGGGGAAGGGAGGGAGAAAGAGAGGGAGAGACACATCAATGTGTGGTTGCCTCTGTGCGCCCCCTACTGGGGACCTGGCCTGCAACCCAGGGATGTGCCCTGACTGGGAATGGAACTGGTGACCCTTTGGTCAGCAGGCCAGCACTCAATCCACTGAGCCACACCAGCCAGGTCCCCATATTATAAATTCTTACATAATTTTAAGATGTCTTCTTGGTTTTGTATATAGTTTTTAGTCTTCGCTAAGAGTCAAGCTCCTAGCTCCGTTGCTAGACTGCGTCTTCACCATCTGTTTGCCCTGTCAGTCAGTTAGATAAAAATTACTGTGCCAGCACTGTGTATGTAGTGGCAAAGACAAAGTCTCTGCCGTGAAAAGCTCCTATTCTAATAGAGAAGTGTTTACTTTTTTAAAGCAACGGTTTGTAAAATGCATGAACTTTAAGAAAATGTCGGTCTCTGTCTTCTGAGGGCTTCCGTGAGGAGCCAGAACCTCACACAACAGACTCAGCACTGTGCTGACCTGGTGGACCAGGACAAAGCTGCACAGAGTCTGCACCTGAGACGGTGGGGAGGGGACCAGGACCACACACATGACCAGCAAAGACCGGAGTGGTGCCATTTGAAGAATCTGTTGAATCTGTGTATGTATTTGGTTTTTGTTGTCTTTTCTTTCCCATAGATGGTGAGAGTATAAGCCTCAAAGAGAGGAAAAGTGAGAAAGGAGAAACTTTGAATGTGCCCCTAGACCCTGCCTCCCAAGTGAGGGCAGGCCCTCGGACTCCAGCAGCCCCCTCCGCAGGTCTGACTGGCCCCAGGAAGAAAGACAGCGAACCAAGTCTGGTCCAGGAGACCACCAAACCACTGATGCCTACAGACAACTTTACACAACGGATGCCCACCCAAGCACCCGCCTATGAGGTCAACACTGAGGCCACCGTCCAACCTGCAGTGCCTGACAGCAAATGAACCACGATTTCCCTCCGTGGAGGTCCCTCATCCTGAAACAGAACCCGAAAGACCCACCCCCACTATGGAATCCTCCCAGTAAGCCTGTTTTATGATGTTTTCCACCATATCTGGCACGCCCTGCCCTGCCCTTCTCCTGTGGGCTGTCTTCAAAGGATTAGCCACATCTTCTTCCTCCTCTCTGTGCCTTGTCACGGGCCTGGGCAGGAAAGGAGTGCAGGAGAGCATTTGAGGCTCAGGAACATGTTCTGGTCGAGCTTCTTTATAAAGGATGCAGTTTCAGCGCACAGGCAAGGAAAAAACAGCCGTCATTGCAGCTGGAGCTTGTTGTTCTCTGGGTGATACAGGGTCTGGCTCATCCTAACCCTTCATAGTACCCGCTGCTAACAGGGCGGCCGTGGTCAACATCAGCATGCGAATAAAGGCAGCCTTTCAGGAAATGCAGAGGTGGATGCTGTGTTCTTCGGACCCTTCTGTGATGACAGGCTGACAAAGACTATGAGATGAGTGTACAGGTGATGCTGTCCTGAGCCAGAAAATCAGAGGTGGCGAGGGCATGAGTTGGGGGCAAGGACTGTACCCCACGTGCACTTTCTGTGGTCTGGTGTGAATTGGGCCACTTCCTAATAGCTTGCTGTTGGCTGACTCACCATGGAATGATGGGCATAATCCCAAGCCCACCCAATGACCTTTGGCCTTGAAGGGAAACTAAAGCCCAAACAAGCCTCTGGAGCCCCTTCTGCTGGTAGAGCAATGGTAGAAGCGGTGAACTGAGTTCCACTCGGTGACCATCTCCTATTCACACTTAGTCTCTGGGCCTCAGTGTTGTATATGATGGGCAGGGAGGGCAGACCACTGCAGTGCCTTCCCCCTGGCTCAGATTATCCTGGGCTGACTGAGGAGTCATGTAACCCCTGGGGACACGGGACGGTCTTGGACAGCCACATGGTCATCCCAGAGAGTGGGGCTGCCTGGTTTGGGGCCTCCATTTCTACCACCAGCCCCTCCCCTCCCACAGACAGCTGGGGAAAACAGGACTAGTCCCCCCTGTGGGGTGGCTGGGCACCCAGACATGTGGGGGTGTGAGGGTGAGCAGGGCTTGGCTCTGCTGAGCATCAGGGGGACCCTGAGGCAGGTCACAGGCACGCCCACTTCAAGGAGGTTCTCCATGGTTACTTCTCTAGGCACTCGTCCCAGCCACCGCCCCCAATCACACCTTTCCTGTTTGAAGCCCCCTCCCCAGACCTGCCCGGGTCACAGCCCAAGTTGGTTGTTCTGTCCTGGTCACACAGTAACATTTTACAGGCACCCGCTGGATGTAAGGATTTAGCCCAAGGCAGCACCGTTCTCGGTGGTTTCCGATGAACCATGGAGCCGTTTCTGGCAGGAGGTAAGGGCCCCTCTGGCTCCACTGGCCCCAGTTAAGGCTCAGAAGCCGATCCCCAGCCCGTGCACACTTAGCTCCTCACCTCCCAGGCTGCTGTCCAGTGCTTCTCTGCAACCTGTCCTGGTCTCAGCCTGCCCCTGTAAGTCCCTTTCACACATACCTTGGGCGCAGGCACTCCTGTCCCCAAACCCAGACCAGCTCAGCCCTGCACACACAGACCAAGGAGAGAGTTACACAGGCCACACACGCATGCACACACAGGGCCCCATCCCCACCTACTCTCTCCCCTCTCCTCCCATTTCCCCCAACAAAGACACTCCAGGGCCAGAGGGTGGAACACGTGCTTTATGTCCTGAGGTGACCAGGAAAGCGGGGGCTCTGCACTCACACCATAGTGTATAAAAGTGGTCTGTCTCCTGCACCCCAGCTGAGGATCCTGGACCTTGGGGAGCTGGAACAGGCCCTTGGGTGTCCAAGTGGTCTTGGTTTGGTTTGGTTGCTCCCAGTAGGGAGCTCAAGGTCATCCTCTTGGTTCCCTGTCCCAGTGGGGCAGAGAAACCCTAAGGTGGTCACGTGGCCGGGCTGGTCTGAGATGAGAAAAGCGTGCAAGGAACATAGGCTCTACCAGCCGGGAAGGGAAGGCCACCACAAGCCAGAACCAAATCCAACGCCAGGGCCTCAGGGGTGGCCGGAGGGGTGTTCTACATCTCAGCAAGGCCGTCCATCTGGAAGAAGGGCCAGAGTCCAAACTGGTGCCGTCACTGCTGGCCAGCCGGCCCAGCCTCCCTGCCCGGATGGCTAAGGCCTTCCCCCCAGCTGCCGAGGAAGCTGATGGGCCTGAGCTGGTCGCTGCCTGGGAGCAGGGACAGAGCCAGTGCCACCTCCACTGTGTTCATCTTCCAGTCCTGGAGCCCCGCTGTTTGCTCATGGCCGTGAGCATCTGGCTGATATAGGACGTCAGGAGGTCATCCATCTTGTAGCCCTGGAAACGGTGGTGAGGAGATGAACAGGGCACAGAGTGGGACAGGGCCAGCCCACTCAGACCCAGAGCACAGCTCCCAGGACACCAGGCAGATCCCAGTTCGAGGTGGACTCTGCCTCCCTCCCTGCACAGCAGTGGGTGGGACTCATCCAGCGAGGCGTCTCAGGTTCCAAGCTGTTAGAACCCCAGGCCCTAGCTTGTGGGGTCCTCAAGTCCTGGATGCCCTCATCCAAGTGACTCTAAAGGCTCTGCCAGTTAAGCTGTGCCTTGGAAACCGAGCCCAGTCCAGGAGGCCTCATTGCGAATGGTTTTACTGTTGAACTCGGGGGCTGAAGGCTCCTGAGACACCAAAGGCACTCAAACAATAATTACTGAGGGACAGATTGTTCCTCAGCCTCAGGTTAAGCCCCTGCCCCCAGACCTAAAGCTGAGGCTCAATCTGACCTGACCTTGGCCCCAACCTGACCCTTGATCCAGACCCCAGGCCCAGCCTCATGCTTGCTCCAGGGCCTGGGAGAGTGGATGAAGCTGCAGGGGAGGCAGGGGGCCTGCCAGGGCCTGAGAAGAGCCCTCACCAGTGACGTCTCACAGAGCAGCTTGCTCCCGCGCACCAGGTTCCCGATGGTGATGTGGAAGTAGGTGTTGCCGCTGCTCCAGTTGGAGATCTTGGTGAACGGGTGAGTGGTCAGGATGTCCTGGGGGCGGGGTGGGGGGGGAGGGAAGTATGAAGCTGCACCGCCTGGATCCTCTGGCCTCAGTCCCCTCAGCTCTAGCCCACAGACACCACCCACATGATGGGCCCCCAGCCCTTGGAAGAGGAGCAGGAAGGAAGAGGCCAGCTCAGCCAAGGAGCTGCTGTGGGAGGCAGGCACCTTCCCCTCTGCACCTCGGCTGGGACCAGCAGGCGGGACACCCAAGGAAGTCTAGGAAACTGATGGGCACATGGGGCTGGACCTGGAAATGCTGGAACTGAAACTGCGGCCCAGGAGGAGATAGTCCAGGGACAGTTTGAGGAAGGAGACAAGAAGACAGCACTGAACCTCGGGGAACAGAATACATGTGGGCCCATGGAAGGGTCTGAGAGGAGTGGCTGAGAGAGAGATGAGAAACACCAGGAAAGTGGGCAGATGAGGCCCAGGGGAAGACAGCGGTCACTGGCACCTATCCCAAGGGTCCTGTGCACGTGGTCGGACTGGGCTGCCTGGCACCCTCGGTGAGGGCTGCTCTGGCCCATAAATATGAGCCTCAGCCCCCAGCACAGCCTGCCATCCTGACCAAGACGGGCAGAGAGCACTTGTGACGGACAGTAGCGTCCAATGACGCTGAAAGGCCAAGTATTGTAAAGAGCTCACCGGGCCGAATGACAACGTGTCTATGGGTAACTAGAAGAGCCATCGTGATGGAGCAGATGAGGGCTTAGGAAGTCAGCAGAGCAAACAGCCTCTCAAGATGTGTGGCCAAGAGGGTGGACTAAGGGAGGCCGAAAGCTGGCGGGGACTCGGGCCGAGGAGCCGACAGAGCAGCCTGCTCTGCCTTCCCGGCCCGGTCACTGCTCACCTTAGTTCTGGGATCGATGAGGCTGACCCCGTACTTGTTGATGGCAATTAAGAGGATCTCAGGGAAGTTTGGCTCCGTCGTTTGCTAATAAGGGAAACCAAAACCATCAGATGGGGGACCAGCGTGGGAAGCACTATGTGCATTTGGAGCAGGAATGAAGACCCCCAGCCAGGATTAAGTTGACCTCTCCTTCTGCCCCCTGGTGCTAGGGGTGTGGCGGCGCTGGCAGCCCTGCGGTGACTCCACCATCCTCCACTCCCCCCTGCAGCAGCCTCACCCTTCTCTCCTGCCTCTCTAGGAATCTTTACTGTCTCCTCTCTCAGCTCAAATGTCTCTCATCTTTAAAAACCCTCCCTGAACTTTACCCTGCCTCCAGCTATCTGTCTACCTCTGTCCCTTGCACGGCCAGCCTTCTGTGAAGGCCTCCCCTCCTCGGCATGTAGCAGGCCATCCTCGGTCTCCATCCACACCTACCCCCTCATCCTCTCATGCCAGCATCTCCACTGTTCTCCTGCCCCTGGTCGTGCCCCTCAGACCCTCCCCCCACCCTGCAGGCAGATGGGGTTCTGGCCCCATCACTCTTGCTCAGAACCCTCCGGGGCTGACCACCAACTGCAGGAGAAACCCCCGCCTGCTCACTCACCTGCCTCTCACTGCAGCTGGCTCTCCCCACACCCTGTGCCTAGCCACACGTGACCACTTGCTCTTTGTACCCAAGCCTGAGCCCTTACAGCTCGGGGGCCATGCGCACGCTGGCTGCCAGGAGCGTCCTCCCCGCCGCTGCCCCACCCCAGTCTCCCCGCAAAGATTAGGTGCTGCCTCCTCCAGGAAGCCCCCTCAACCTTTACAGTCTGAGTGGGCATCCCTGGCCGTGCCACCTTAATGAGAGGTCCCCACAGACTGTCCATGCTCCTGGCCTGTTTGTACTCCTGCCCCACCTGCCAGGCTGAGTGCTGGCCCCTACGTGTCCCAGAACAGAGTCCGGGGCTCTGGGGTCGGCCGAGTCACCCAGCGGACACCTGGCTGAGGCACTTCTCTCCTTTCCTTGCCCACCACCCGGGAGGATCTCTGCCCTCTCGTCCCAACCCCTTGCCTCCTTCCTCCTCTCTGAGAATCAGCCCTCAGCGTACCTTCACCTCAAAAAAGGCGGAGCCGAAGGTGGGCCACTTGAAGATGAGCTTCAGGAAGGCCAGCTTGGCCTCCTCCTTGGACTTGCCCGAGTGCTTGTTGAAGTAGGCGACGATGGACTGTGGAGGGCGTGGGTCAGAGGCCTCTCCCCGCCCCTCCACCCTGTCCACACTGTCAGCAGCTGTCATGGGCCTTGGAGGGCCAGGCACAGTGGGGGTCCTGGCAGCTGTGAGGCGTTACCTTCCTTATCCCAATTAATAGACTCTCGCCCTCCCTTCCCTCCCCCACACAAGCAGGCTGAAGCGTATTAAGTCAAGTCAGGACACCATGGTGAGCAGGACATGGCAAATCACTGCTAGTGGCCAGCTGAATGGATCCTTTGCCTAAATGGCTGCAGACTAAAGCAGGTAGGGGATGGCAGGGTGGCCTTGTCATGTACAATGCCACCAGGAGATA